GTTTCCCATTTTGTTAAAATTCATTGCTTTGTTGGAAAAAGGAGAGATTTTGAAAGAGAGAGAGAGAGAGAGAGAGAAAGAAAAAAGAAAAGAAATTTGTCCCTCCTCTTCCCTATATATATAAAATGCTATCATTTTTGTTTTCCCATTTTACTCTCTTCAGCTATTACTTCTTCTGTTACTGTGTTCTGATTTTCTTTTTAAGAGAGAAAAAAACAAATATTACAAAAAAAAAAAGTTGGAAAATGATTTTGTAATGATCATTTTTTTCTCTTCCAATTTTACCTTTTCTAATCTTAATTCCATTTTATAAAAAATTATTTTTGTATACGATTTAAAAAAAAATGAAAAGTAATTTACAATTTCATTTTTTCTTTTTTTTTTAAACAGTTGAAAATATTGATTAGTTAGTATGCTTGGTTTCTTTTTCTTTTAAATATTTAAAATATTGATTACTTAACATCCTTAGTTTTCTTTTAAATATTTAAAAATATTGATTTGTTAGTATGCTTAGTTTTTTTTCTTCTCTTTGAAATTTTAAAATCTTTTTAACCTTATTTTATTCACTAATAATTATTAATTTAGAAGATTATTTTATTCCTTTATCAGTTTTGCTTCATTTTCTAGTGAATAAAATGAATCATATTGTTTTAAGAAGTAAAAATTTTTATTAATTGCTAGTACTGAAAAAAAATATTGAAATTACTACAATGTTTCAATTGATGGAACATTGACATTTCTTTTTTGTTTTTCTTTCTTTTTCTTTTTTTTTTTTCTTTCAATTTAAACTAATATACAGAGATAATAATAAACTTGTCAAATTTGAATATTATTACTTCTCTATCAATTTAATAGATGATAGTTTTGAGTTCATGAATTTTCCGTTTCATATGATAGTGCAACATTGAAATTGTGACAATGCGACTGGTGTGTAGTATCGTAATTGTCCTAATGATATATTTATCTTCGTTTATCATCATTATCATCATCAATTCTAACCTTCTTTTTTGCTACTTCAATTATTATCTCAAACAGAAAAAAAAAAATCAGTTCATATCATTTTTTTTTTTTTTCACTACTTTTATTCAGTAATGTACTTTATCATTAACAAATTGTTATCAGTTATTAATGAATCATAATTTGATTAGAGCATTATACGCTATCATCGTTAGAATATATATGTATATATATATTTCTTTTCGTATTTTAATTTTCATTGGATATTTTGTATATCATTTTCGATTAATTTGATCGATCTCAATTTTATCCAAAAATTGTGCTTTTATCTTTCAAATATTTACGTGTTACACGTTTACGTCCACTTTCACGTCAATACTTTTAGAAGAAGAAAAAAAAGACATTGACTTTAAATGAAATAACGTACAATTTCCAACAATATATGCACAAATATCCTTCGTCCCACCCAATCAGCGTCATTTAACTTTCTGTTATTTCCATTCTTCCTCTTCCGCGACAACCTTTGTTTTGTTCATCCTCTGTTATTGCTGTTGCGGATGACAGTGATGATTGTGGTAATGGTGATGATGATAGCGACGATTAGTGGTAGCGTAGGTGGTAATGATAGTGACCAGATGTGATAGCGATGACGATTGGTCGTGATTAGAATGGCATTGAGGACAAAGAGCTGCGGTAGTGAGTATGGTGATCGATTCTGGTGAAAGTGTCAATGATAAATAATAATAATAATAATAATAATAATAATAATAATAATAATAATAATAATAATAATAATAATAATAATAATAATAATAATAATAATAAT